TGGTAATCAAAGGATGGAATTAATGATCTTGGAGTTCTTTTCCAGCTTTAATGAGGCTGTGGTTGTTCACATGGAACAAGGAGCTCAGCAGTGATAGAGCAAAGCCTCAGTGGATCAGTTGGGTAAAACCTGGCGGCTTTTTGTGTTGCATTTGAGCTCTCTCAGATCTGCAGTTTTTGGCTGGATAACGTTTTTGCAACTCTCCTGCAAAATCTGGCATCTGAGGTGTTTTATAACCGTGTCTGGGAGCTGGGGGTGGAGGAGGGAAGCGAGGAGAGGGGGAGGAGTGGGTACTTGGGGGTCACACCAACACACGGGAATGGTGTGGGAGTTGTGGGCAGGAGCTGTCACCCAGGAGCAGCTCAGTGAGGATTTCATGGCTCCAGTGCAAAATATAAAGCACTGAATATAAGAGGTTTGCCTTAAGGGGTGTTTTGAAACAGAGGGAGATTAGGAAGTGGCTGCATGTTTGGTGGAAGATCCTAACAGGCATCCCTAGAAGATCCCAGCACGGGGAGCACCACGCTGGGATTTCCCTCGCTGTCTTCTGGGCTTGGAGCATCCCTGAGGGGCTCCTTGGTGTATCAGTGCCCCTTGGGTGACTGCAGGCAGTGCCCATGTCCTGTGGTTTGCCTGGACTTAGAGAGGGGGGAAAAAAAACCAGCCAGGCTGCAAACATGGACCCATGAGATGACTAAAGCAGAATTAATTTTTGCAGTTAAGTTTTCAGGCATTGGAATGTATCTCTAAGTGAAGACATTACAAATCATAGGTGTTGAACCTCACAAATTCAACATTTTGGGCAGGTCTTGCTGGAGTTCCTGCGCTGCAGGTTTGCACAGAGAAAGTCTTGTTCTGCATTTGAAGAAAGAGCAAGAAGTTTATATTGTAAGTGGCAGAAAACACGACAAAACACTTATTGCTGGGAGTGGGAGTACACGAGGAAATATATGGCTATTATCCAGCTGCAAGTTTCTCCATTTAAATGCAAACAAAACAGGAAAATGAAATGCAATTTTTAGTTTAATCAACTTTCATGAGTCTTCTGGGAAGCCTAGAAGTATCTGAAAGGAGCCGCTGGGACCTGTTGGGTTTAAATATGAATTTTGAAGTCTGCTCGGTAATAGATGGTTATGCTGGGTTTGGTTTAAGAATTAAGCTTTGCAAGTGACATCTGGGCCTAACTGGGAGCTGGCTGGCAGGGGGGGAGGCCACTCAAATTAACTTTCATTTCAGAGGGGGATTAAGGCTTTATTTTGCTAAAAATGTGTCGAAAGTAGCAGTTCTTTCCCCAAAGCGTTCAACAAGCAGGAAGTTAAAATAACAAATTTATCCACTATAATTACACACTTGTTCTCTTTATTTTAGTATAGGAGAGATGATAAAAAAAATACAAGCAGGCAGTACCAGGCAGTACTGAAGAGTTCTCCCACAGGGGAACTTGCAAAAAGTTAAATTAAATGAAAATACCTCTGATTATTCTGTCCGTAAAATAATTAGGGGTGGGGAGAGATTAATTCTTGTTCAAGTATGATTTTTAATATCATAGTAGCAAACACCTGATCTACAGAGCTGCTACAGGTATAAGAAAACACAAAAATGGTGTGTTTTTAATAAAAAACAATCAGTGTGAGAACTGAGGGGCGCAAAAGGCTTAGTGAAGTGGATTTTTTTTTTTTTCCAGTCACTGGGACGTTTCTGCATCGTTGTCCTCAGTGTTACGTGTCCCTCGAGACCAATTACAAAGGTTCACAAGGTTGTTTTTATTTTCCTTGCTCTTGATGTCTTTTTAATGAGGCCTCCCAGTAAACAGCAAGCATTATGCTTTCCTGTTGTATTCCTGTCTGCCGCCTTGAAACATTTATTACTGATCCGCGGGGGAAATGATTTATAAATTAAATATTAGCAAAATGTACTTTTAAAAAACAGAAGTAGTTAGAGGGGGGGTATATGTTGTAATTGTCGTTGGGGGGAGCGGGAGAGGAAGTCATGCCAATATTTTGCTAATGGAAGCGAAGTGAAAGGGACTGTTAAAGCATCATTGTGGTTTGATGTAATAAATAGAGCTGATAGAGGCACGGAGTTCTCAGTGCACGGCTCTGGGCTTGTGGGTTGGTGTAATAGAATCTGAAGGCAAAGGGAATAAAAAAAAAAAAAAGGCTGCATTCCTGCTCTGCTCCAGCCCTGCCAGGTCCTGGTACCCGCAGCATCCCATCGGCATCGGGAGCTCCTGCCCTGGCACCTTCTTCTCCTGCTTTGCCTCCAGTTTCTGGCTCTTCCAGATTCGAGTGACGCTTGCAAAATATTCTCTAATCCCCAACCCTAATCAAGCTTAAGAGCAAAATTGTTCTGGAGTTGTGTGAGTGACAGAGCCCTGTGTGGAGTCTCCCCACACCCTCGTGTTGGGACTCTGCTGCTGCTGCAATGTTGCTCTTGCTGCCTTAGAAATACCCAAGTCAAGCACAAATACTGGAATTGTTTAGTCTTCTGCCTTGACACTGAATTTTAGCTGTTTGCTGGCTGCTTAGTTCATATATTGGCGAATTCTGCTCGCTTTAAGTCGCGACTTGCTGGTAGGCAAGGCTGCTCTCACCCGAGTTTGGAGAACCTGTTCTGCTCTTTTGTGCCCTGTGCCAGGTTGGCAGCGAGATTCACGGTGAGCAAATGCAAATCTGGGTTTGGTTTGGGTTTGTTTGGGGGTTTTTGTGAGGTTTTGGAGGTTTGGGGGGTTTTGTTTGTTTGTTTATTTGTTTGTTTTCAAAAGTCCTGGCATTTGGCTGCTCTAAATCAGGCTTTCTCTCTTGTAGAGGTGGGCTGCTGTGAGTGATCTCTAGTGACACCCAGCTGCTTCATCTCACCTGTTGTCCTTTCACTGTCCTGCTGGCACATCTTCCACACCTCTGGTAGCTTTTGTGGGGGGGAAATAGAAGAATACATTGGTAAAGCTCCTCTGTTTCCATGTGTGTGTGTGTGGATGTGTTTGTCTGTCCAAAATTTGCTGTGTTAAACGGTGCATTTCTCACAGATTTGTGTTTTGAGCAGGTGTTTCTCACTCATTTGTCGTTGCCCTTGTTACCTTGCAAAGCTTGGAGGGGTCCTGGTCCTCTCCTTGCATCTGCTCTGGTGACTGGGAGCAGTGTTGGAAGGTGAACATAGGGAGGCTGTTTATCAAGGAGAGTCATTCCAATCCTATGTTTGGATTCCTCTGGGTCTGGAAGCGCTTGTGGATATTCCAAGGACAGGGGTGCAGAAAGCGCTTACTCAGCGGGTTTGTGAATCTCTTTTGAGCAGATCTTTCCTTCACGTCTTGAAATTTGCATCTGTGATTACAACCACCTTCATGTGCTGTGAATTCAGCTCCTTTCTCCTGTTCCACCCTTGGAGTGGCTGTTGGAAGTGGCTGAATCCCTCGTGTGGGTGTGACCCGGCACATCCCCATGGTCCTCTGCAGGGCTGAGGGTTGGACTCTGATCCTTGTGGATCCCTTCCAACCCAGCACATTCTGTGATTCCATTCTGTGCCCTCGGTTCCCTGAGCCCTGGCACATCCTTTGGAAGCACAGAAGTGACTCAGCTGTGAGTTTGCTGCCTCTCCATGACATCATCCCCCCGAAAAGCCTTTTTGGAGGCATTGGAAGAGAGGAGTGGTTGTCCTTTGCTGCTGCACTGAAAGGTGTTTACTTCCCAGGGATGTCAGGCTGGTGGCACTTTGCTCAAACATGACTGTTCCGAGAATATGAAATAATACTTTGATCACTTCCATCTTTTATCTTTTAAGTAGCTGATTTCATTCTCCCATGAAAGCAATGGGCTCAGAGAGCTAATCAAGCTGCATAATGAAGAAAAGGTCAAAATGAAATAGTGAACTGCCATGGTTCCCAGCAAAGGCTGGGTTCAGCTTGCAGAGCATTGTCAGAACACAAACTCATTTTTATTTTTCGAAAAGACACTCAACTTGCTGCTTTTTCCTGTCCTTCTCGCTGTAAAGTCGTGTGGTCACCCACAGATGGTGTCCTGAGAAAAATAAGAAGAGTGAGCAGCTGACATCTCTTGTGAGGAAAAATTACTCTGAGAACATAGAGGTGTCTAATTATATTGGAGTAATGGAGTTGATGCTGCAAGGGGAATGTGCTCGAGAGCAGCCATCCATTCTCCAGGCAGGGCTGGCAACAGCCTCACCAGAATGCAAACTGTGCCTTCAAACTGCATTGTATGAGTAGAGAGTTTGGTATCACATTCATCCAAGTTCAGCACATCAGGCAGCGAAAATAGAAAATTATATTAAATTAATCCTCTCTTTGTGGCTTTTCCTCTTCAGAGTTACTCTCTTGAGCCAAATCTGGGAGGTTTTCTATTGTATCTTCCCTCATCTCTGATGATGATGATGGACTTGGTGTCCTTGCTCGTGGCAGGGGGTTGGAACTGGATTGTCTTGAAGGTCCCTTCCAACCCAAACCATTCTGCAATTGCACAATCTCTTACCTTGCTGCAAACACAGGTGCTGGCCAAGCTGGTGCCTGGGGGAGGTTAAAGCAAGGATTGGGCTGGTGAAGTGGTTGCCACTATAAAAACTTAACCATGTGTCAAGTTGAGCTGGGATCTTTCCCAAATTCTTCAGAGCTGTGGGGCTGGCCTGGCACCCTACACAGTGAGGAGGTTACAAGGACTCATGATGGCATTTATTGGAGAAGGCATTTATCTTTTGCTTCTGCTGGGTAGGATTTATTTTTAATGTAACTAATCAAGGGAGTGTGGGATGAACCTTTTCTTGAGCAGAAGTAGCTTGATTTATGAAGTGGATTTGTAATCCAACATGAAGCATTTGATTACTCCTCGCACGCACTAATCCTTTTTTTATGAGATCAATTTGCCCCCAATATCTGTACATGGTATTTTTTTGGCAGCCTTTTTTCCTTAAGACCTCAAAATGGTATAAATGATGAGCTCCAGCTGTTTCTCATTGTGTGGTTTAGTTTCTGACACACAAGGCACTGGATTTTAAGCTTCTCAGACTTTTCCCCTGTAAGTATTATTTAATAGCTATTGCTGCATGAACATTGATTTTAATTTTACCAGAATAAGTGCATTAAAATGTTTACACGTTATTATTTATCACCAGCTGTTTCACCAGCGTTGGAGATGGTGCTTTTATTTATTTCTGGGTACCACATAATTAACTTCATGTGCTTATCTGGAGACTTTCTTGTCAGTTATTCATAGCCTGACTACTTTGTGTGCAATCTTCAAACAATTTACTGTGTGATGGGAAATATTTCAGTGTGTTCTCGCATTAAGATTTAGAATAATGTAACTGTCTGGTGGTATTTATAGCAGGCTGCAGCAGGGGAGGCAAATCACCTTTTATCCTTGGCAGTGTCAGTGGTGGAGGGAAAATTGGCTTTACCCACCTCTGGGGAATTGGTAAATAAAACAAAAAGTTGCATATCTTGGATATATTTATATACTGGGACACTTAAGAGTGAATACACACCTATTCATGGGTGTGTGTCTGTGTGTAACCCTCATCATGTTGGTACTGCTGAGGCTGAGTTACGAAAATCCCTTAATATTCTGCTCAAAATGAAATACAAATCATCGAGAGTCAGCCCAAGACTTCTTGCAGCTTGGTCATTACGTGTTTGATTACAGTTTGCCTGCAGTAATTATGTGGTTTAATCACTTTCTGCACAGATATCAACCACTTAAAATATTTCTGAGTTTGTCAAAACACTGTGTTATCCACGTTCAAAGATTTTCAAAAGGGCAAACAAGAAATGCCAGAGGTTGCAGATGATTATTTTTTATTAGTTCTTTTTTGTTGCCAGTAATTGTAATACAGCAGAAAATGAAGATGTAAAATTAACAAAGGAAGTAAATTTAATTTCTTTCAAAGCCCAGGACTGAGCATAATCCTGTTCAGCATCTGTCCATGGCAGGTTTCATCCTCTCCTCCCAAACCAGGTGTCTCTCTTGGTGTGTCTGTCTCGCTGCCTTCCCAGGGCTGCCAAACCTTGATCCAATAGTGACATTCCCAAGGAGTCTTTAATACTCCAAGATTCCAGCCCAGAGGGGTCTGAGCAGCTCTCCAGGAGCCCCAGCAGAGCCTGCAGGGTTTGTCCATCACAAACAATCACTGTCCTGAGCTGCTGAGCAAGGTAATGAGGTGGGACATGGCAAAGGGTGTCCCAGCTCACAGGCCTTAAAGACATGTCTGAAAAGAAATTTTATTAATAAACTGGACAGACAGACCTCAGAAATAACAAATCAACCCTTTTCCATTTTGCTACTTTAATCACAGAGAGGGGGAGATGCACTTCACCCTCCTGTGTCCTTGATACACCCATGGCAAAAAAAAACCTGTTAAATTACAGTTTTTTTCCCTCTGCTTGAGGATTTCTTCCCAAATCCAAAACATTGGTGGGTTTTCTGCATGTTTGTTTGTTTTTTGGCAATTAGAAGCTGTAGCCAGATTTCATGGCACTCTGAGTTGGTTTCTCATGTAGGAGTAGTGAGAGGAAACTTGTTGGTACATGTTTTGATTTGCTCTCCTTCATTCCTAAAATGAGGCTTGACAATGTGATATTTGGAGCTGATATAAAAGAAATTCATTCTAGTCCTTCTAATCCACTGTGCAAACTGTTAGGATTTTCCTACCTGGCTTTGCTAATGCTTTGGATATCATGAAAGAGAAAAATGGTACCTGAGAAAACTTGTCACCCCAAACTCTACCTCAGTGGCAAATTTTATAAAAATACATTAAAATATTTAAGTATTTTGTTAAAGGACTGGAGGGCCAGGGATCACTCAGGGAAGGAGGTTAATGAACAGTCTGAAATGCCTTTGGAGAAACCCTCCAAAAGGATGTGTCTCCCCAAGGCCAGAGCACACAGCTCCAAACATTGTTCCTAACACTTGCCTCGATCCTTTTAGCAGACAGAGGGGCTACCACAGACATACATCGGTGATAACTGGGGAAATTATGTCCTAGAAAATATCTACTGACCTGAACGTTGTGAATTTCTGGGATTCAATGTGATTTTAGCAGGGAATGAGCAAAACTTGGGTATTATCTCCTTCCCTGTTACTGGTGGAGACCTTGGGCTGGCTGGTCCAAGTGGCTTGTGGGCTTCCCATGGGATGCTCTCCCACCAAAGCAATGCCTGTCTCTTCATATACTTACTGAAGGAAATACATAAACGTGCTTTTATATAATATTTATGATGTATTTGTATGGTAATGAGCCCCAGGGTATGCACTGAGTTCCAGCTCACACAAACGTTGCCACTTGGAAGAATTTCCTGCCTGGCATTTCTTTTATTTTTACGTTTCAAAGCCGCCTCGCTGAGAAGGTTATTCTGGTAATTCATTGTATTTTATTTTATTTTTATTTTTTTTTGGCTTCAAATAAACTTATTTTTGAAAAACAGATCCTTCCTAAGGGCAGTCAAGTGTCAAATGCAGAGTTATGGATGGTGTCAGCTGCGTGTGGGAGCACACGCTCCATTTATTCATTACAGCTGTGAAAGCTTAGCTGTGCAAACGCCAAGTGCTGCTTGTGTACCTGTCACTTCAGAGCCCTTAATGAACATTGATCATGTTCTCCCAGAGTTTATTTGAATAAAGTGCATGGGAAGTAATTTTTAAAAGCACAGCGTGAACTTTTCCTTTCTCTCGTGGTGTTTGGGAGGAACCTGAAAAAAAAACATCTTTGAAAAATTATTGCTGGATGAGAAAGAGGGTTCTGCACATTTAATTGGGTCCTCTTGGAAGGTTCATTTAAAATTTCAGGTGATTTTTCAATATAACATGTATTTATATTTACTTTGGTCATCTTGGAAGGTTCATTTAAAATTTCAAGTGATTTTACATTATAACATATATTTACTTTGGTCATCTTGGAAGGTCCATTTAAAATTTCAAGTAATTTTACAGTATAACATGTATTTATATTCACTTTGGTCATCTTTGAAGGTCCATTTAAAATTTCAAGTGGTTTGTCAGTATAACATGTATTTATATTCACTTTGGTCATCTTTGAAGGTCCATTTAAAATTTCAAGTGGTTTGTCAGTATAACATGTATTTATATTTACTTTGGTCATCTTGGAAGGTCCATTTAAAATTTCAAGTGATTTTACACTATAACGTGTATTTATATTTACTTTGTTCATCTTGGAAGGTCCATTTAAAATTTCAAGTGATTTTACAGTATAACATGTATTTATATTTACTTTGGTCATCTTGGAAGGTTAATTTAAAATTTCAAGTGATTTTACATTATAACATATTTACTTTGGTCATCTTTGAAGGTCCATTTAAAATTTCAAGTGGTTTTACACTATAACATGTATTTATATTTACTTTGGTCATCTTTGAAGGTTCATTTAAAATTTCAAGTGATTTTTACAGTATAATAAGTATTTATATTTGCTTTTATATAGAGAATCATAGAATCATTACAGTTGGAAAAGGCTTCCAAGGCCATCAAGTCCAATCTTTGGTAGAAGGTTGGACTTTTAATTAGTTTCAAAAACCCTGTTCTTTGTAGTTTAAAGTTGTCTTTAAACAGTCCCTTGCATCAACTTCGGGAAAGCAACTCTCAGGTTATTTATGCAGAACTCAGTTGTATAATTCGGGGAAATAACCTTTATCTCCTCTCTTGAGTGAACAGTCTGGCCCACCAGATTTCTTCTGCTGTTGGAGGTGATGGAAAATGTGAAATGTTGGAAGTGTTGTGTTGCCAAATTCCTGCTGAGGCTGCTGGAGCTGCAGAGTTTGTGCCCCGAAGCACCGAGTGCTCTGAGCACAGATGGGGACCCACTTAATCCATGGAACAGTTGCTCCTCTAAAGCTGTTCCCTCCTATATAGGGCACAGTGTGTCCTATAGGATACAGGTGAAAGCAGGGATGAGGGAGATACACCAGATCTTTGGGGAAACCCATAATCAACTCATAATGTTCAGGAATCCCCCAGAGAGCAAATCCCTTATGTGGTCTAAAACTGCCACGTTGGTTTTAGGTCCTGTTTCATTAAATATCCATCTCTGCATGGGCTGTTTTGGTGAAAGCACCTAAAATAAAGGTGGTTACAGTGGAATATGTAGTGGTTGCTTAAATACCTTATTGTATTGAAGCTGAAGAGAAGAAAAACCCATAAATAAAATCTTTCTAAGAGTTGGACTTGATGGCCCTTGTGGATCCCTTCCAACTCAGGATATCCTGTGATTCTGTGAAATTAAGTGCAGGTTTCCTAATTGAAAGAAACTACTTCTTGCAGAAGAAGGAAAATATCGAATATTTCTATTTTAATAAAAGCTTTGCAGTGTTTAGTTTAAAACAGGGACTTCAAATGAAGTCTGCACCCAAATAAATTGATCTGCGGGCTTTGCATTTGTGGTGAGCAAAGTAAAAAGAACTAAATCCATAGGTCATTCCTGCAAGAATAAAGCTAATATTAGCTCAGGAGTCACTCTTAAATGTTGTTTACATAATGATCTTGTGAGGTGCTGAGCCTTCACAATTGAATTGTGCATTTGAAGGGAGAAACCCTAGAATTATAGGTGGTTTCATTTCTTTAAGGACTAAAAATGCAATACAAAACACTATAAGCTCTTTTTTCCCCCTCATTTCCCTTTTCATATTATTTTAACAACAACCTTTTGACTCTGGAATGTGTGGAAGTCAGGGAATATCAAAGTAAAACAATCAGGGGATAATCCTACTTATCTAACCTTCAACTGGCAGCATTTGGTGTATTTTTAGTCTGATAGGATCCGAGTTATCATTACCAGTAATTTGATAAATGTTGTCATTTTTCTTTGAAGAACTTATTTTAGGCTTTTTTTGTGTGTGTGAGTTCACCTGCTCCCTTGAGAGTAAAACCAGCAAATAATTTATTCAGTGAAAATCCTTGACAATTTTTAAGTGAGAATCACTAATTCTAAGATCCTTGTGGTTATAAAACTTGATGATTTGCCCGTAGATATTCTCTTTGGTAGTGCTGTCAGTTTGAGACCTGAGAGC